CTGAGGTGTATACACTTAATTGAATAAGAACTGAAGTTGACAAACTTAACCAGTTAACGTTTTGTGACAAGTCGCCATACATGCTGTAATGAAGTCTTCAGTGTCGCGATTCCATATTTACAGAGATGTAATTGGTTTTAATGAAGGTGTAAACGCAGATAGGAGGTGATTAATTTGATTTTGTTATGCTGATGACAGAGATGTGGATATTTTAAAAATTTAAATGGGTGGAATATTAGGAAATACAGGGTGTTTCATTTAAGAGGTTTCAATTATTGTTATCAAACTTGAAAGATAGAATTGAAAATTAGTTAATATTGAAAGTGAGTTAGGATACATTTAATATATATAGTAAAATTTGAATATTGTAACATTTGAATGATATTACTTACATAATTTATGTTACATACAAAGTGACTTCAAACAAAAAAATACCTGAGAAGGGGTGGTATAATTACAGGATGTATTATTGACTATGAAAAAAGATGGTCTAATAGTTTATTATTTAAGTAAACGTAATAAGGAATTCTTAAATGTCGAAGAATGTTGATGAACTCTGTTGGAGCCAAGAGGCATCTGCCATCTTCTCAGCTCCCAACGATATGTTTCGTATATTATATTTCTAAAAAAAACTCATTTCAAAGTCAGTGTAAATGTCATATCAAGGTTAGGTTCTTTGATTGTAAAAATTATTTACATGATCGATTTAAGTGACACCCTGTATAAAATAAATATGTTTAAAGTGAATTTAAAATAAATTTAAACTAAATTTAAAATGAATCTAAAATAAATTAAAAATGAATCTAAAATATATTTATAATGTATTAAAATAAATATACTGCACGAAAAATATGAAAATATTATATTATACAAAAGCAGTTAATTTTCTATTTGTACCTCAAGGAATATAAATAAAATAATCAAAAGAGAAATAAAACAGAAGGGAAATCATATTTGTAAGCAAGTAGGTAAGACTTATTTGAATAATTGAAGAGGACACTCATTTTTAAGAGTACTTTGGGAAAAATGCATTAAGGAACCTCTACGAGTGTGAAGAATCGAGCTGAATGAATTATGTATTTAGGAACAAACAATTCTTTGTCTCTATGTAGATCTGATTTAATCTCACTTTTCTGTCCAGCTACTGAATAAATCACTGATATTCTTGACTTTAATACACAGTCTCCATCTTTATATACTGCCTCTGTAACTTCTTTGTACTATAATTCTTTATTCGTTAGATATCTATGCGTTGTATAATCACTCGTTAGATATTTGCGTGTTCTATAATCACTCGTTAGATATTTACGCGTTGTGTAGCCACTCGTTAGATATTTGCGTGTTCTATAACCATTCGTTACATATTTACGCGTTGTGTAGCCACTCGTTAGATATTTGCGTGTTCTATAGCCACTCGTTACATATTTGCGTGTTCCATAACCACTCGTTAGATATTTGCGTGTTCTATAACCATTCGTTAGATATTTACGCGTTATGTAGCCACTCGTTAGATATTTGCGTGTTCTATAGCCACTCGTTAGATATTTGCGTGTTCCATAACCACTCGTTAGGTATTTGCGTGTTCTATAACCACTCGTTAGATATCTACGCGTTGTATAGCCACTCGTTAGATATCTATGCGTTGTATAGCCACTCGTTAGATATCTACGCGTTGTACAACCACTCGTTAGATATTTGCGTGTTCTATAGCCACTCGTTAATTTCTCGTGCATTAAAATCACAAGATTTAAAGTCGTTACATATTAAATCTGGACGCGTTAGATCACTATATGTTAGATTTAGACGTGTAAGAATTTTGTGCGTAACATTTGAGCGCATTAAATTTCTGCGCGATAGAGTTCGATGCGTTAAATCCCTATGTGATAGATCCCTGCGCGTTATATTCCTGCGCGATAGATTCCTACATATTGTGCCCCTACGCGTTGCATTCATACGCGTTAAATTTCTATGCGTTGAACTCTCACACGTTGAATTCTCACGTGTTATAAAACTATCTATTAAATTTCTAAGCGATAGATCCCTCACGTTATTCCTAACGCGTTAAATTCCCACGTGTTAAATTTCTACGTGTCAATTCCCACACGTCAAACTTCTACGTGTCGAATTTCTACGCGTCAAACTTCTACGTATCAAACTTCTACGACTCAAATTCCTACGTGTTGTATACTTATGTGTTATATCCCTACTCGTTAAATTCCTATGTGTCAAATTTCTATGCGTCAAACTTCTACGTATCATATTTCTACGCGTCAAACTTCTACGCGTCAAGGTTCTACGACTCAAATTCCTACGTGTTATGTACCTATGTGTTATATCCCGACGCGTTAAATTCTTACGTGTTAAAATCCTACGCATTGTTATTGTACGTGTTCTTCTCTCTGCTGATTAAATTCCTAAATATTGTCCACTGGTTCAACAATATGTATCACAGAAAAATTGAGAGTTGTGCAACCACATACTAAATCACCACTTACTATCTCCTCATGCAGCACAACCAGATACATTCAAACTCCACCAAAATGATGCCAATAACGATTCCACAAAAATGCTCAAAATATTTTCTGAAACTTCAAATCTCAAATTTGTTTCTGTAAATTTAACGTTTCCACTTGTCCTGAAGAGTAACGTGATCGACAATCCCAGCTCTTCAGTTTAATTCGTCCGTTTGAAATAAACGATCGAAAGCTCTCGGCGAGCCATTTGCGAGTGAAAAAGAACGCGGAATACATCGCACGTCAAATGAAAATCCACCCACAGTAGATAATAATTCGGATGGAATGGAAAGTAAAAATTACGAGAAACAAATCCTTCGTGAAAGAAGACATCGGCTAATGTACACAGACCTGCAGAATGTACGCTCAAAAAGATCTTTGAAGAGGAGAAGTTCTCTTCTTTGCTTAACCTCCTTAACTTTTATAGAGCAGCTCCTCAAACTTTCATACTACGATAACTTCTACATTTCCCTCGTATATCATGCAATTATTTCCGTATATGCATGGAGGGTTGTCTAACTTTTACGTCGAAAACTGTTTTCGATAACTGGGGACAGGGTATAGGGGACCAAAGGTATTTGCTCTGTCGATGCAATTACCGTGGTTATGTTTTTGGTAAAATTTTAGGCTATGACATTCTTTCTTTCTCGACTTGTTTGATATGTGATAGATTTGCAATTATGAGTTGCTTAGTGAGGAGTGAAGGTTAGATTCTGTATTTGTAGATAAAAGTTTAAGGTTAGGGTCCATAGTTGCAGGTAATAGTTCAAGATTAGATTCTATACTTAATCTTTTCATTATGAGATATAATAAATTTGTAACGTGACGCAAATCTTATGATATATATTGTAAGGAATTAAGGTTAGGTCACTTATAAGTAAGATAAGAGTTTAAGGTTAAGTTTCATGGTTGCAGGTTTAAGGTTAGGTTCTATATTTAAGCAGTTTAAGGTTAGGTTCTATATTTAATCTTTTTAATATGTGATTTAATAGATTTGTAATGTGATGAAAATTCTTATAATGTATATAGGTTAGGTTCCATATTTCTAGATAAGAGTTTAAGGTTGAGTTCTATAATTGCTGGTAGCAGTTTGAGGTTAGGTTCTATATTTAATCTTGTTACTATGTGATACAATGGACTTGTAATGTGATGAAAATTCTTATGATGTATATAGGTTAGATTCCATATTTGTAGATGAGAGTTCAAGGTTAAGTTCCATGGTTGCAGGTAACATTTTTAGGTTAGGTTCTATATTTACCCTTTTTGCAATGTGATACAATGGACGTGTAACGTGATGCAAATTCTCATGATGTATATAGGTTAGGTTCCATATTTGTAGATGAAAATTTAAGGTTATGTTCCATGGTTGCAGGTAGCAGTCTTAGGTTAGGTTCTGTATCTAACCTTTTTACTATGTCATACAATAGATTTGTAACGTGATGCAAATTCTTATGATACATTTTGTTAGGAATTAAGGTTATTTTCTATATTTATATATAACAGTGTAAGGTTACCAATATTCATAACAGTTTAAAGCTAACTTCTATATTTATAGCTAACAGTTTAAGGTTAGGGATCACGTTTATAGGTAACGGTTTAAGGTTAGGGATCACGTTTATAGATAACAGTTTAAGGCTAGGGATCATATTTATAGCTAACTGTTTTAGAGACCACGTTTATAGCTAACAATTTTAGGTAACCGCATTTACATCGCACTGAGGTTATTATTTACAGGTTAACAGCTTTTCAATTTTGTCAATTTTTCATCATTGTTATTTTTATTGCTGTTATTATTTACAGATTACTAGTTCTTCAATGTTTCAATTTTTTATAATGTTATTTTTATTGTTGTTTGTGTAATTGAAGCTATGTGACCCAAAATATTTGTAATGGTATCACTATTAAAAAATTCATAGTACATATAATAATTTCATGTTAGGTTAGGTTTGAGTTTAGGTACCATATACGTAATATTTTTAGGTTATGGGCGAAATTAGGTAGTAGCAAAGTTAGGTAAAATTTGTACAGGTTATAATTTCTAGTTGTTCATAATTATCTATAATTATTCATAAAATATAATAGGTTATAATGTATCTCTTCAATACATTCCGATTTCTTCAACTTCTTATTAGTTTCATCAAAATTAGTATCCTCATCTTTCTCTTTGTAATAAAATGATCCATATTTACTTTTATATATTTTGCTCCACTATCACAACAATAATGGTCAACCTCATAATAATTATAGTAAATCTAAGAATAATTTACAATTGCAATCCTTTATAAACACTTCATTTCTCTAAAAACTTATCACAAGAAACAATGTTTTGAATCACATTTCAGATCTTCCTAATTTTCATAAAACCACGCAAGGATCAATAACGCCGAACACTTTGTCCCGCATAGAAACGCTCTTAAACCATTAATTTTCAGGGTTTCTCGTAACTGTGGATTCGATAATGACACATGGATTATAGGTATCACTTACCATCACATTGTTCAGAGTGAATGAGAGATGCGCCGGTGGCTTCGAGGGTGGTAAGCTACAATTTGCCCTCAAAGTCTCTCCCGGGTCGTAACGTTCACGTTCCGATACGATAATGGGTGTGCCTTCTGGTAGAGCTGAAACATAATAATTCCATGAATCCCTCTTTATATGCATTATCAACGAGGTACTTGTTTCGTGTCCTCGAAACGGTATAGCTTATGGACAATGCAGTTCGGGAAAATTTGAAGAGTAGTCAAACATTTCCGGCTTTTTAAATCATTACGTTTTCGGATCCGTACATTATGGAATTTACTCAGTATTTTATTTTTGATTTTCTAAATATTCAGGTTTTGAAATTTTTTAGGTTGATATATTCTTAAATTTCAAGGGTTTTTGATATTTACTTTTCTATTTTTAGCTTTTTGAACTTTTTTCAGTTTTTAATTTTTCAAATATATTTTTTAATTTTGAACTTTTGAGATTTCTATATTTTTTAACTTTGATACTTTCAGATTTTTATATTTTTTAATTTCGAACTTTTCAGATTTCTATATTTTTCAATTTTGAATTTTTGGGATTTCTACATTTTTCAATTTCGAATTTTTTATATTTCTATACTTGTCAATTTCGAAATTTTGAAATTTCTATATTTTTTAACTTCGAACTTTTTAGATTTCTATATTTTTCAAATTCGAACTTTTTAGATTTCTATATCTTTTAATTTCGAACCCTTGAGATTTCTATACTTTTCAATTTCGAAATTTTCAGATTTCTATATTTTTCATCTTCAAATTTGCCAAATTTCTATATTTTTAAATCTACTACTTTCCAGATTTTTGCATTCCTGAATTGCCAATTTGCCAAATTTCTACGTTTCCACATTTACATTATACATTTCTACATTTTTAAGCTTGTAACTTTTCCTAATACTATGTCTTTTAATCACCAAAATTTTGGATTTCTATAATTTTATATTTATAACTCTTCAAATTTCTAAGTCCTTGAATTTCCAACATTCCAGACTACAGCATTTTTAAATTTTTAAATTTTTAAATGTTCAATAATTTCAAACATACATTAAAAATATAATAGAACCTTATAAATGATTCATATATTATTTATAAGTACTATATTGCATTATAGAGTGTCTCACATATGTGTTACATGTGTACATAACATATTACACATATGCTAAATAATCCAAAATATTTTATTCGTACATTTTATATTTTTATATTGTATCTTATAAAACATCAAATATTTAAACAACTAACATTCTCAATTACCTAAATAATAATACAAAATAAACTAAAATTTTTCATTACAAAATTAATCAGTATATCACTTTCGTTACAACCAAAACAATGAAGCACAAGAAAATCGAATTTCGCGCACAGAGTTTTGTCCTCGCCCGTTAATTAATTCAATTAAGTTGAGTCGTTTTAAAAGCAACTGTTTGTAATCTGGCTTCAAAACAGACAAAAGAAACACGTACGAGGTAATGCAGCACTTTGTTAGCAAACAACGCTGCGTTTGCATTGATTTTATATCGATACATTTGCACTTTTAATTATGATAATGTTGCTATATCCTATTCCTCCGGGCCATAAGATCAGCCATTTTGTAGCAACCTCAATAAAAGAAAGAGCCTTTTTCTTGCTCACCAGCTGCTTTCGCGTAGTGTAAGTTGAACCATTTTTATTACTGTCTGCAGCACCTTGTTCGATGAAATAAAATTTGGTCAAGAAATGGGGGTTTGGGATGATTTTGGGGAATTTTGTTGTTCTAAGGATTTAATAATGTAATTTGTAATGGAGATGTGGTTATTAATTAGGTGGAAATGGTATAATAGAGGTGGAAGGCTTTTTTTGTAATGAAAAATCGTAGATTAAATTTTCTGAATTTCTGAATTAAATTGAAAAATTTGTTAAATATGAAGAATTGGAATTTTTTGATTTGTGAGATTTTTATGTTTCAAGTTTTCAAGTTTTTGAACCTTCAAATCACTGAAAGGTATTGATAATTACAATTTTAGATATTTCAAAGTTTTTGTACATCAATTTTCCTGTATTTTAAATTTTTATAGTTCATTTTGAAATTTCATGTTTGAAGTATTCTATATTTAATAAATTTTCAAATTTCTGAATATGGAATTGTTCAAGTATGAAATTTTTATATTCGAAACTTTTGTAACCTAATCTCTAACTTTTTATGTTCCTCAATTCTCAAATTTCCAAATCGCAAAATTATTAAATTTTCAAGTACCACCATTTCAAATCTTTAAATTCACAAGTCCACCAACCTCTAAATCCATAAATCCCCAAATCCTCAAATCCCCAAATTCTCAAATCCCCAAATCCCCAAATCCTCAAATCCTCAAATCCCCAAATCCCCAAATCCCCAAATCCTCAAAATTTTCAAATTTCCAATTTCTTAAACTTCCAAGTTTCCAAGTTTCCAATTCCCTAAATTTCCAAATTCGTAAAATTCCAAAATTCTCAAATTTCAAATTTCTTAAACTTCCAAGTTCCCAACTTTCCAATTCCCTAAATTTCCAAATTCTCAAATTTTCAAGTTCCTAAGTTTCTACTTCCCTAAATTTCCAAACTCTCAAAATTCCCTAAATTCCCAAATCTCCAAGTTCCAAAATCTCCAAATTCCTAAACCTCGGAATGCCTAGATTTCTAAATTCCCTAATCTCCAAATGGCCAAATCTTCAAATTCTCAAATCTCTAAATTCCCAAATCTCCAAAGTCCCAAACCTCCAAGTGCCTAAATCCCTAAATTCCCAAATCTTCATATTCCTAAATCTCCAAATTCCCAAATCGCCAAATTTCCAAATCTCAAAATTCCCAAATTTCCAAATTCCCAAATCTCCAAATTCCCAAACTTCGAAATGCCCAAATCTCTAAATTCCCAAATCTCCAAATGTCCATATCTCTAAATCCCCAAATCCCCAAATTCCCTAACTCTCAAATTCCCAGAATCATCAAATCTCCCAAAACCCTAACCCCAAACCCCCAAATTCCGAAATCCCCAAATCCTCAAATCCCCAAATTCCCAAATCCCCAAATCACCAAATCCCCAAATCCCCAAATCCCCAGAATCCGTAATTAAAATCCACAAATCCCAAAACACCAAATCACCAAATCCCAAAATCCCCAAATCCCCAGAATCCGTAATTAAAATCCACAAATCCCAAAACACCAAATCTCCATCTCCAAAGTTCCCAAACCCACAAATCTGCAGATTCTCAATCCTCAGTACCTTTAATGTCACTAAACCGCCCGACGCCTTCCATGTTTCATAATCCTCCATTTCCTACTCTCTAACCTAATAATTTACATACATTTCGACTCCGACAATTGTGACAATGAATTCTTCAGCGAGTTAAATTGCATTTTCATATTTCAACAGCGTCGCCACGGAACTCGGCGCAGTAGTAGGGGGTGAAAACAAAAAGAATTTCAAAGCCATTGATTTGAAATAAACGAGACCGTTCCAAGTTCAACCGCATGCATTCGACTTTCCATTAAGTATATTGGATTTTCGACCGCTGTCGACAAATCTTTCAGGCCAATCGGAATAATGGTTCGAACTGGGTCAGAGTATTGTTGCAAAATATTAACGATATAAGTCGTACGCGTATCGGAAGTAAATGGCTCGAGAAAATCGGAATGATATATGTATATATCGGTTATATTGCAGCAACGGATGTACCAAACTGAGCATTCGCGATCAACTCGTTGCTCTTCCAATCGCGATTTTCAATTACATTTGGTTCGTTGAATTTAAACGGGTTCAGAATGCGTCGTGTGATAAATGGCGAAATTCTGTAATTTTTCTTCTTGTAAGCTTATCATGTTACTTTTGTTATAAACGACCCTTCTTAAATCTCTGTCTTCTCTTCAAAATAACAACCAATCTTGTAGCAAATAAATGTGTCAGATTTTGAGATGGAATTTGAAGAGATAGATAGAATTTGAGGTTAGGTTGCATGGTGTCAGAAGTAATTTTTATTATTCAGAACTTGTAAGCACTCTACATATTCACATACGTATTTCCACATACATGATACATGATTTAATTTTTTTTTTATATACGCAATAATTTTGTGTCGACAATTTCGTAAAAATCCAGTTTCAACGATTTTGTCAAAAACCAATTTTTGATTATGCAGTACTCTCATTCACTTGTCAAGTTTTAATTAATTCAACTAAACTTCAAATTCAAATATTTTTCGATGCGAGGAATATTTCAACTTCAACCCCGTTTAAATATTTTTCGAAATTAGGAACACTTTTACTTTAACAAACTCGTTTAAATATTTTTGGAGGTTAGGTCTTTCAGCGTGTTTAAATAATTTTTTATGTTAATAATATTTTTAGTTTGACCTCGTCGAAATTTTTAATAGGGTAAGTTTGGAAGAGGTGTCTTAAAATCAAGTATTTCAGGAAGAATAAATATTATGCACAACGATTTGTAAAATTAATGATATTTTGCAAAAATGTAATTTGTATAAAATTATTGTGGATTGTATCATCAGAGTGTCATAACGAATGTGCATTATAAAACTACCCTTAAAATATTGTATAATAACAAGAATAAATTATTTCATGTTAAAACAAAAATAAATTAATTCGTATAATGACAAGAATACATTAATTCATGTAATTAAAAAAATGAATAAATTCATATAATTACAAGAATAAATTAATTCATGTAGTTACAAAAATGAATTAATTCATATAATAATGAGAATAAATTAATTCGTGCAATAACAAAAATAAAATAATTCGTATAATGACAAGAATACATTAATTCATGTAATTAGAAAAATGCATAAATTCATATGATAACAAGAAAAAATTAATTCAAGTCACAAAAAGAATGACTTCTTCAACAAAAATTCCCTGCAACAACAAAAGTGAATTAATTCATGTAATAACGAAAAATAAATTAATTCATGCAAAAACGAAAATGACTTAATTCATGTAATAACAAGAAAAAATTATTTCAAGTAACAACAAGAATAAATGACTTCTCAAAAAAAATTCCCTAGACACCAGTGGTTCTCATGTACAAACAACAATGAGCTACATACGACCTAAAAATAACTAAAAAATGTGCAAAA